CGCCCGCACGCACCTTCGCTCGCCATCGCGCACCCGCGCTCGCCGCTTGCCCGCGCTCGTCCGCACGTTTTGGGTCCCATGTTGGGTCGGGTTAGGTTCGACTAGTTTGAACCCGTGCCAGTTCCAAATTCGACCCGAACCTCACCCTTGACCTGAAATTGATACCCCTAATGACAATAACCATAACAGTAGCTGACAGGTAAGGAAAGAGACATCACGATCACAACAGATTGGATTTCGGCGCCTATTAAAAAATAGGGTTAGGTGAGATTGCCGTCCAAGTAGAGTTTGGGGCGGTGGATCTGTGCTTGATTTCAAACGCAAAATTTGACCAAGCAGCTCGCCTACTTCTCTTTCCCTCTCTCTCTTTTTGTTTTTTCTCCTCTCTCTTTTTTGTGTTATTATAACTGACAAAATACAGCTCACAAAGCAAAGTCGACGCCTCCATTATTACGCATGTTCTAACACTTGATAATAAATTATGATATATTAGAATATTTGTAACGTTTGACTTTATTTCCTATCATACATTTAAATAAAAAAATGTTGTAAGAGACAAAATTTATGCAAGAAATTTAGAAAAGTAAAAATAAAAAATAAAAAAAAATAGGCCTGACCTCGTTTAAATGATTCAGGTTGATAATTTTTCCTTGTGATTGAGGAAATCGTTGATATAGTATAGTAGATATAAATTATGGATTATGGATTATATGACAGAGGTTAAAAGCACTGTGGGATAGTGTAGTTGTCTTCAATAGATTTGTTACGGTATATTTGGTCATTCTTCTTTAAGGAGGATAGACTAGAGACCAAAAAGACTAATATAAGTATTTGTATTAGCATCATGAGTTAGAGTTGAAGTCGATAGTGGGCATTTACCATATTGGTGATAACTTATGTAAATGCTGTGAGAGATGATTGGTAGTGAAGTTAGCTGTCGATGAGATGCATCGATTTTATAGGTAATGACTTGGGTTAATGGTGCGCGTTGGCTTTACAAATGATGGAGTGCGTCCATATGGTTAGTGACAACAAGTGATTAAATCGGCAAGTGTCGATATTGATGTTGACGATGTGCGTTGTCCTTATAAGCGATGGCATGAGATGACATTACTCATGATGTTGGGCTATGAGGTAGATCGTAGTCAAGTGATGTTGGTTGGGAGAATATAATTGAGCAATGGTAGTTAGGAAATTCTATTCAGACGATCGTGATCAAGTTATAAAATCGAGTGATCATGAACTTGTTGGGAGATTGTACTTTCTCTATTTAAGTGTCGAAATGACCTCAAAATTAAGTGATCATGAACCTGTTGAAATGCTCTCATCAAGAAGTACTACTGACTAAAAGCATGCAAGATTTAGATATCATTTGATCTTTTAATTAATTTTTGGTGTCTTCAATAAGCTTCAAGTTCTTGATCTATCAATTTTGATGTTATTGTATTCATTTCATTGAGAACTTTAATTTGACCATCAGTTCAAATGTTTTCAATTCATCAAAATTTGTGCTTAATTAAGGAAATTTTCTGATGATATATATATATCTTCCCGTTTGTTTCATAAAGAAAGCTGCAGCATTTCTAGGCTCAAGCCCTGTAAGGATTTGTTTCGAACAATTTTTTCCATAGAAAGATGCAACCCACTTAAATAAGCCCGGAGTCACTTTTTCAATAAATTTATTTATTTATTTTTCTTTCAATATCCAACACTTATAATATTTGTCATAAAACATGAAAGATTGTCATACAATTCAATGAAAAATCTTATATAAATTTGGCATACATATCCTTTGTATCTCTTGCCAAATCTTGAGAAAATATGATTCTCAAAATCATTAAGATTTAGTTTGGGACAATTTTCTTACTGCTTCATAAAACAATTTTTTTAGTATAAAAATTTTAATTTTTTACTAAAAATTTACTTTAAAAAGAAGTAAAAAAATAGTCCCAAACAAAGGCAAGTTTTTTTTTTTTTTTTTTTTTTTTTTTTTTTTTTTTCATTTTTCCTTATGAAGGCGTTCACCAATAATCAGAACAAGAGCAGGAACCATCTATGAAGTGATGAAACCTGTGACAATCCCTCACTATCACCTTCCTGCCAAAGCATGCCGAAGCTAACTTCATAAACAAATGACAATCCTCACAAATCCTTAAATTCTTAATTATCCTAATAGCTGTTCCTTCCTCTGTGCTTATCAGGCCGAAAGCCAGAGCCAGCTTCTCACTGTGATGAATTAGCGCATGCTTATGCTTCATGTCTCCCCCTTCCTCAAGCAAGTCCAAGCTTCTCCATGGTTTGTACCTTAGTCGCGCTGCGACCCTATCCAGCATCTCATAAATCTCCCTACATTGAGGATGATTTCGATCCCCGGCGAAGAACTCGTAAATCCGATTTCTCACTTCAATTGAACTGCATCCAGGCTTCTTAGCAATCTCCTTTTCCTTCATCAGATTCCTCATGCTATCTGCATCCTTCCATCGCCTCTTCATCAAGTATATGTTCGACATTAGCACATAGTTTCCGCCGCTCTCAGGCTCCAACTCAATGAGATGGCGACCCGCCTTCTCCGCGAGCTCAACATCCCCATGAATTTTACAAGCATTGAGCAATGATGACCATAGCACAGGAGATGGTTCCATTGGCATGTTCAGAATCAGCTCATATGCATCATTCAGCTTCCCTGCCCTGCCAATCAAGTCAACAATGCAACCATAATGCTCCAGCTTAGGACTCAATCCTAACTCTTCTTCCATGGTGTTAAACCATCTGAGCCCTTCCTCCACCAACCCCTGATGAGCACAAGCCTTCAGGAGCCCAACCATGGTGATATCATTTGGCTCGATTCCTTCATTTATCATGTAATTGAAGACACTAAACACTTCATCAGCCATCCCATGCATTGAAAGGACCTCAATCATTGTAGTGAATAAGAATGTATCCTTCTTCCTTGCTTGGTTGAACACTTTCCGGGCATCCTCGATGCAGCCACATCGCCCATACATGTCGATGAGGGCGGTGCTCATCTGTAGGTCAATGGCAATGCATTGCATCTTGATGTAGCCATGAATCCATCTGCCAAGATCCAGAGCACCTAGATGGCCGCAGGCCGGTAACACGGAAGTCACTGTAACCTTATTAGGCATAACCTCGTCAAACCCCTGCATTTCTCTAAACAGTTGAAGAGCTTCTGCAAAGAATCCATTGTGGACATAGCAAGCAATGAGGGCATTCCAAGAGAGTACATCTCTCTCCGGCATTTTATCAAATAGCTCCCTTGCAGAATTACAGTCACTAACCCTTGCATACCCTGATATCATGGCATTCCAAGAGACAACATCCCTCTTCGGCATTTTATCAAACACCTTCCTTGCCATCTCCACGTCCCCCATCTTGTTGCAGTACATATCAACCATACTATTCCATGAGGCAATATTCTGATCAATCGGGGGCATTTCATCAAACAGTTGTCGTGCAAGATCAAACTCATGGCAGCGAATAAACCCCACAATTGTTGTATTCCAAAGAACAGAATCACGATCGCGGCATCGATCAAAGATGCAGCGCGAGAGAGCGGGGCGGCCGAGAGAGAAGTAGAAGCGAATGAGAGCAGTGGCAATTGGGAGGCGGTCAGTGAGCCCTGTCTTGAAGGCGAGGGCATGGGCATCGAAACCAGCTGCAATACAGGACGTCAATGTGGCGGAGCGGAGAAGTGGCGGGAGTGTGGAGGGGTCGATGGGGACGGAAAGGGACCGGAGGATGGAGTAGGCTTCGAGGGTATGAAGGTGGAAGCTGGAGCGGGAGAGAAAGGAGAGGAGGGAGTTGAAGGGGAACGGGGAGTCGGGCGGAGAGCAGAGGGAGCGGAGGAGGAGAAGAGAGGAGGAGGGTGAGGGGGAGTGGAGGAGGAGATGGGAGAGGACTGTGTCTCGGCGGCAGAGGCCAGTCTTGAGGGAGAGGGCGTGGAGGGCGCCGAGGTCGACGGCCGTGGGTGAGGAGCTTAGGGAGGAGACGAGCCATTGCTCGGTGGTCGTTAGGGTTAGGGTTTCAGGTGTATTTCGGTTAGAGTTGGGGTTTGCTAGCAGCGAAAGTACAGGAACGGGAGGTAAGCAGGCCATACCAAAGAATTATTTATCACATTTTAATAACCCTAAAACCTATATAATATTATGCACAGCAACAATATCATATCTAGAGACAATCAGATTTACTTTGAGATTGTTTTTGTTATGTTTGAATGATTATCTTGGAGGGTCTTAAGGCTATAGATATCTTATAAAAGAGAAATTTGATGTTCTTTATACTTGTATTTTTTGTTTATTTAAAGTTGGTCAGAGTCATAATCATTTATTTTTCGAATGCGATTTTTCTTTTAGAGTTATCTCTAATTTTATACTAGATATTAAATTTTTTCTGCTTATACCTAATCTGATACAATTACTGGATTATATTTCTTCTCTTCATTTGAATTATAATGTTAAAATTTTATTTTTCTTTTTTGTTTGTTGTTCTATCTATTTTATTTCTAAGAAAAGAAATTTTCGAAGGTTTGAAAATAAGCATTTTAGTGCTGAGCTAGTGTGTAGTTTCATTAACAAGGATTTGTTAGCTAGAATTTTATGTTGGAAATCTTACCATTTCATTAAGCATTATTTAATATTATAAGTTGTTTTTTGGTTGGACTATGATGATTGGGAATAATTATGAGGTCCGGACATCGGACGTAGCTCTACATCCGAAGGCCAATAAAATGTTGCCACGTGCTCTTACTCTTTATCGCGCGGCCCGACGACCCGACTCGGATCGGAACTCGGTATTGCTATGTTCGCATATTGCTAGGTATTGCTAGATATTACTTGACAATAACAAGAAATACCGCTCTGCCAAAACCAATACCTAGCAATACCGAGCAATACAGAGCAAAATCGGGGTATTGCTTGGTATTGGTCTTAACATAATTGTATTTCTCGTTATTGTCGAGCAATATCGAGCAATACCTACCAATACCCCGGTCTGTACAAATCAGCCAATACATAGCAATCCCGGGTCCGATCCGGATCGGGTCGTTGGGCTGCGCGGTAAAGAGTAAGAGCACATGACACCATTTTACTGACGTCCGAATGTAGAGCTACGTCAGGACACCGGACCTAATAAAAATTCGATGATTGGGACCTTACGCCTTCTCTTCGAAGATTTTTTAGGGCAACCAGATTAATTATCTTGGATGGTTGGTCGTTCATTGCTACCAAGAATCGGTTTATTTTTTCTCAGTTGAGATGTTTATTAGAAGGATTTTTTTTTCTTTTTGAGTGCGGTGGTTGTTGGGTATTTGTTTTCTTGGTTCTTTTTAACTCTATTCTCTTTTTTCTTTCTTTCAGACTAAGGTTTGTTGGAGGTTTAATTTTTCTTATTTCATGATTTTTATGCTGTTGGACTATAGCTGGTTTGAAATTGCTTTAAGGTTGGGTTGCAGTATTAGTTTTATGGAGTATTCTGCTTGCTTTTGGATTAACAACACTTGATTATTAGCAGTTGGTCATTTTTTGCGATCGTGGCTGCTGTTTAGGCTTCGTTTGGGACAGTTTTTTTGTTGTTTTTAAAAGCAGCTTTTTAGTGTAAAAATTTTCTGAATTGTAAAATTTTATACTAAAAAATTGTTTTAGAAAGCAGTAAGAAAGCCGTCCCAAATGGAGCCTAAGTCGTTTTTTTGTTGGGAGTTTCTGATGTTAGCGGAATTTGGGCTCTTGCTGTTTGGATTTTGCTTTTTGACTTGGTTGAAGAACTGAATGGGTTGCTTCATCTTATGAAGATTAATTCTGCTTGCTTTCAGGTTATCAGCAGTTGATTAAACGCAGTTGCAGGATGGTTCTTTATTCTTCAATATCTTCTGCTTTCTTATATTTCTTTTGGTAGAAATGGAAATTTATTTTTCATTTCTGTTTGGTTATCTTTTATTTTGCAATTTTTTTCATTAGGTTTCTTCCTTTTGTTGGCCTTTTCAGGGCTTTCTTTCTTTCTTTTTTACATATTTTTATGTTCAAGAGGTGGCTCCCATGGTGTAACACTTTGTTTTGTTTGATACTTAGTTCCCATCTTTCAACATGTGTATTGCTCTGATATCATTTGTAACAGCTCAAACTCTTAAATATTTTTCTTATAAATTTCTTATAAAGGATCATTATATATATATAACCAAGCTGACTCAACGAGCTACAAACTACACCATAAGTACCTTGAACTCGAGCTTTTTACCCAGCTCCTCTTGGTATGTTGGTTGAGTGATTTGGTTATCAATTAAAAGATCTTGAGTTCGAGTCTCACGTATGTGTTGTACGTGTGAGTTTGTCTTAATTAACCTAAATGTTCCTCAGAGCTTTATTATAGTAGCCACTCAAGCTCAGCTTGTGGGGTACTCAATCCTAACTCATTAACATATCGATTGTTTGAGCTGGTACGACTCATTTACACTCTTATTTAAGGAGATTTTTTTTTATTTTTTATTC